ATATATACATAATATTATATATATATTATATATAATATAAATAAATATATATATGTTTATTTATTTATTTAATTATATATACACTTTTATTTACTTTCGGTGTAATTCGATTTGGGCCGACAATTGGCTGGAAAATTTAACTCCAAAAATTGACTAAGTGCAAATGCCTAGAAATATATATTAATATATTTATATTTATATTTATATTTTATATTTATATTTATATTTATATTTATATTTATATTTATATTTATATATATTTATGTATACATACATATCCTTTTTAATGTGTTAGTTGTATTATATATTGTCTACAGATTTATATGTGTATTTATGTGTATGTATGCATATTTATTTATGGTTGTGTATATGTATAATACTTTGCTTAATATCGTTTATCTATTTACAGGGCTGTCGTTCTATCTGTCTCTATTTGTCTATACGGCTATACATTGTACCTCTACATATATAATATATATATATATATATATATACTTATTCGTCCCCATAATATAGCTGTCTTTCTATCTGTCTCTACCTACCTAAATTGCTACTCTACATATATATATATATATATATATATAAGCATCTTAACAGATGTATATACAAATATATACCTATACATAGAATCGATAATAATACTACATATAATATATGAAGAATATAATATCAAAACTTTATTTATATAATGCTGCATGCATTTCAAGTTTTATAAGGCGGCTTTTGAGTGAAGTCTCGCGGCCAATCCAAACTCAGGACTGCCGCTGAGATCTCCTCTTGACTCAATAAATATCAAGTACATTCTGCTGCTGCTCCTGCTCCTGCTGCTGCTGCTACGGTTGATTCTGCTGCAGTTGATGCAGCTGCTGCTACTGTTGCTGCTGTTGCTGTCGCTGCTAGTGTTGCTGCAGCTTCTGCTGCTTGAGGATCCTTTTCTGGCCTCTGATGCTGCCGCTGTGCTGCTACTGCTGTTCCTGCTCAAGGGTGCTGCTGTTGCTTTGATGGCTGTCTATAGGGGTGCTCCCCCCATGGATGCTGCTGCTGCTGTTGGGCCGCTGGTGCTGCTGCCAGACGTGGGTAGTACTACTGCTGCTACTGTTGCCGCTGCTGCTGTTGTTGCTGCTGTTGTTGCTGCTATTTCTGCAGCTGCTGCTGCTGTTGCTTGTGCGCAGCAGCAGCAGCAGTCTGCAGGCTCGTGCATAGGAAGGTTGACTCTATATTGAGTTTGTTCGTTTGTTTATTCTAGAAAAATGAGTTATACTTTAGTACTTCCCTATTTGAATTGCATTTTTAAGGTATTTATTTTCTAAATAAACCATTAGTTTGTTAGTTTAGCTGCAAGCAGCAGCGCCGTGCTGGGGTGTATACGCAGGTATGCTGCATAGCAGCACACAACGCTGAGTTATGTACAGTGCTGCATTTTAATAAAATATATTCCTTTTTCAGATATTAATTAATAAAATATATTTAATTTTTTGTACACATCATGTTGTTTGCTGCGTAGAGGTCGGTGTGTTTCCCTGGGTGTCTTGCGGTGGGACAGCGAGCGGCTGCTGCTGCTGCTGCTGCTGCAGCTGCTGCAGCTGCAGCAGCTGCAGCAGCTGTTTTCGGGTGTCTGCTGAGGGCAAATGAGTAGCAAATGAGTAAATTAAACAAATTAATAAAAGTGAATAATTAAGTTTGAGGAAATGCCGTCGAACGCCGCACGAGGTGGCTCGCGGCATGCATCGATCTGCGGTGTATGGACAGCAACAGCAGCAGCAGCAGTCGCGGCAGCATCAGCAGTTTTGTTGTCTTTCTCTGCTCAGCCCGCCATCGCTTCTTTTCTTACTTTTTCTCCTTCAATTAGCCGCCGACCCTTTCTCGCCTCTCGCTTCCTGACGCAACACAGAGCAGCCCTAACACAGCAACACCAGCAGCAACAGCAGCAGCAACAGCAGCAGCAGCAGCGGGAGCGTTATCTTATACCTTCCCTTTCGGCTGTAGAACTAAGTTTTCCGGGTGTGCCTGATCAGGGGGCCCCCCTATATTCTTTTTCTTCTTTATCAGGGGCCCCACATCCCTCTAGGGCCCTCAGCACCCCTGCAGGGGCCCCAGAGTCTGCTGCTGAGGGGGGCCCCCATATACTTCCTGCTGCTGCAGCGACAATGGCGTGGCATAGCCACGGAAGAACTAATAAAGAACTTGTGGAGAACCTGAAGAGAGCAGGGATATTCAGAGACCAACGCGTATTCGACACAATGCTAAAGGTAAAGCCGCAGCAGCAGCACCAACAGCAGCAGCAGCAACAGCAGCAGCAGCAACAGCAGCAGCAGTAGTAGTAGTAGTGGTAGGACTAGTAGCAGTAGTAGTAGAAGCGGCAGAAGAAGAGCAGAGGTAGCAGCAGCAGTAGGAGCAGCAGAAGCAGAAGCAGCAGCAGAAGCAGTTAAATATACATCGCTCTGCGTGCAAATTGTTGTAAGGAGACAGACAGACGAACAAACGAACACATACACACGCAAGAATAAGAGACAACTAAGCAAGAGACATACACAGAGAGACGAGCAAACAGAGACAGGCAGAAGCAAAACAAGGAGACACAGAGACGAGGAGACAGACAACAGCAGCATGCGCAGCAGGAACCAGCAGCAGCTGCAGCAAGAGCGAGACAGCAGCCGCTGTAGTTGAGACAAAACCCTAAACCCTAAACCCTAAACCCTAAACCCTCGACACAGATCACTCCCCCCATATTATCCAATCCCTAACCCTTAACCTCTAAACCCTAAACCTTAAACCCTAAACCTTAAACCCTAGGGTATGTGTATAGAGTTATTTGTTTGTTGTGCAGGTAGACCGAGGGAAGTTTGTTAAAGAAAGCGCTTACTTAGATATGCCGCAGCCAATAGGCTTCGGTGCTACGATCTCAGCCCCGCATATGCATGCAATTGCTCTGCAGCAACTCGCAGATAAACTCCAGTGGGGTAGCAGGGCCCTTGATGTCGGTAAGACTCTTGCGCTGTACAGATAGCTGCATATATTATATATATATATATTATATATATATATAATGGGGTGTATAGACACCGTAAGTATATCGTGGGATTTTGTTGCTGCTGTTGTTTTTCTTTATTTGCTGCGCTCGTCTCGATGTGCTGGCTGTGTTTGATTTTGTCTTATTTGTTTGATTTGTTTGATTTGTTTTATTTTTATTCTATTTGTTTTACTTATTGCTTTACTCTCGTGGTGATGCTTGTCTGTACACGCACCTCCGGCTGCCTTGCGCGTAGCTGTTGTTTGGCGCTGCAGCAGCAGCAGCAGAGCAGCAGCAGCAGAGCAGCACGAGCAGCCACAGCAGCAACCCCACCAAGCAGCAACAGCAACCCCACCAGCAGCAGCAGCAGCACCACCACCACCACCACCACCATCAGCAGCAACAGACCCACCAGCAGCAGCAGCAGCAGCAGCAGCAGCAGGAAGATGTGTTGTGTTGCCGCAGGTAGCGGCACCGGATATCTTACAGTTTGTATGGCGCTGATGGTTGGGGCGGGGGAGCCAGAGGGGGGCGTAGCCATTGGGATCGACTATCTGCAAGGCCTCGTAGACCTCTCTAGAAAGTGACAAACCCTAAACCCTAAACCCTAAACCCTAAACCCTAAACCCTAAGATCCATAGCAAAGAGGGTTGATTTACAGACTGCCCGACGGCTTCTTCAGCGCAGAGCCTCGTCGTCTAGCCCCCCTTCTCTAGGGTTTAGGGTTTACTAGAGTTTATGGCTTATTAGGGTTTAGGGTTTATTAAGGTTTAGGATTTATTAGAGTTCAGGGTATATATAGGGTTTATTAGGGTGTAGGGTTTATTAGGGTGTAGGGTTTATTAGGGTGTAGGGTTTATTAGGGTTTAGGGTTTATTAGGGTTTAGGGTTTATAAGGGTTTAGGGTTTACTAGGGTTTAGGGTTTATTAGGGTATGGGGTTTATTAGGGTTTAGGGTTTAGGGTTTGTGCGTGTAGGAACGTGGCAGGGGCCTTTCCTGAGTTGCTGCAGAGTCGCAACTTTGCGTTAATAAAAGGAGACGGCTGGGCTGGGGGCCCCTCTTGGGGGGCCCCCTTTGATGCAATACATGTGGGTGCAGCAGCAGCAGCAGTCCCTGCTGCGCTGCTGCAGCAGCTTGCTGCAGGAGGTAGGATGGTGATACCTGTGGAGTGCAACCGAGGGTTTATAAGCCTTGAGGGTTTAGGAGACAGAGAAGTAGGAGGCTGTGACGGAGGCCAAGCTCTAGTGTCTGTCGAGAAAGATAAGATGGGTAATGTTAGTGTGAAGTATATAACGAGCGTTATATATGTGCCTCTTGTACGCACCTAATCATTCTACCCCAAACCCTAAACCCTAAACCCTAAACCCTCAACAATGTGCTTGCTTTCTTGCAAGCATGCATATTCTGCAGCAACAAATGCAGCGCAGCAGGAACAGCTGTCTCCTTTGGGATATATCTTTATTCACCTCTGCGGTATATACTTCGTCGTTGTCTGTACACTGCATCAAACTAAGCACAGAAAAACATCAGGGGCCCCAGAAGGAGACAGTAAGGGGGGCCCCTTATTGTCTATTAGGGGCCCCCCTTGGGGCCCCTAGAAGATTGGGGGCCCTCCTTTTTTGTCTCTTAGGGGCCCCCCTCGGGTCTGTGTACCCTCGGGGGCCCCTCATTTTTTTTTGTTAGCCGTGGCCTCTGCGGTGTTTGAGGTGAACTGTTTTGTCGTGGCTTCATTTATCTGTCGAGACACCTGGATAGCTAGCTAGCTAGCTAGCTAGCTAGTGCGGGGAGCTAGTTAGAGGCCCAAGCGAGTTAGCTAGCTAGGGACCTGCGGGATGCTGAGTAGCATCTAGCCTGCTAGGTATCTAGCTAGCTAGCTATCTAGCTAGATAGAAAGGTAGATAGCTAGCTACACAGCTAGGTGGATGAATCAATAGATAGGTGGGTATGTGGCTGTACACCTCCAGCTAGCTAGCCATTTATGCGGCTAGCTGGATGAGCGCTAGGGGCGCGTTCTGTAGCTACTGCGCAGCCAGGTATATATATATATATA